CCATGGGGAAGTTTTGGAGCCACTGGTCGTCATCCCACTGCAGCAGTACTAGCCGGTCCCACCAGTCCGAACTGGTGTCAAGCCTCCAAACTCACTTCTCCAGGAATAAGTTGGGGGGCAAGGGCAGCAGGGCTGCAGCCTGAGCGGGGGGCTCAAAGCTGGGCTCAGAATCCAGTTCGCCGCCAAGGTCATCATGCTCTCCTGAACATGCAGCAGAGCTTCCAGCAGCACAGTGTGGGGCCATCGCCTGCTCAGGGGCAGCTCAGGCTCCATGGCTAAAAAAGCCAAGTTAACACACAAACAAAAGAACAAAAGAAACAAACAAACAGACGAAAATACAAACAAAGAAACAAAAAACCAAAAAAGCCAAAACCCAAAGAAACACACAAACAAACACAGAAGCAAACACAGAAGCAAACAAACAGACAAACCAGAAAATAAACTGCTGTGGTGTCCGAGAAAGCAGGGCAACCAGAGCCAAAAAAACTGCAGCAGCTTTGCTTTCCCTCGAGGAGGTAGGCAAGCCAGAAGCAGGAGCAGAGCACCGGCTGTCCAGGAGGATCCCTTTAAGCATGCGTCTCTGCAGAGAGCATGCTGCAGTGCCTGGGCTTTAAGGCTACCTCTGTGACCTTCCAGAAGCACTTCTGGGTGTCTTCTTCAGTCGACAGACCGTCCCGCGGTCTGGATACTCTTTGTCGACAGAAGTAGTCTGGACGCTCTTTGTCGACAGAAGTTTTGTCGACAAAACTTCTGTCGATGGAAGCCTGTAGTCTAGACGTACCCTAAAAGAATAAAAGAGCTGTTGTGGCAATCCATTTTCAGTAGTCTAACTTCACTTTCCACCATTGCTTAGAAAGAAATGGAGGGGAGTGTTGATGCAAAGGCTAGCCATTTCAAGATGGTCACATACAGATTTTCTTTTACAATGAAATAAAAAATGTGATCAAGCAACAACTTTGAAAATTTCAAAATCTCATCTATCTCAAATTCAAATTTATTAATATTGAACTTCACTTGAGGTATTAAACAAAGTAAGATTTATAAGCATTCGTCTGTGCTGAATTCATATATCAGAAAAATATGCTGAGTCAGAATCATATTGATCCAGTTCAAAATCAATGCAGTCCAAAGTTAAAATAGGTCTCTCATAAGCAATATTCTATGGCTAATTACTTCTTAGATAGCTTATCTTTTTCTAGTGTCAACAGAACAAATGTTTTTGGAAAATCATTTACAAAGGCTAGTGAACAAGATTGTTAAAAAATGTAAGAGCAGATCAAAAGGCAGGAAGACAGAGGGAAAAATTCTGCTCTCATACACACCTGACACTATCTCATTAAAATTAAAGAAATGCAGAGGGTAGAGTGTAAGCCAATGGAGAATGAAACCCATTGTATTTAAGGACATTAGTATGGTCAGAAGAAAGCAAACAGATAGGATTATTGTTTTCTGCTTTTAGCTTCTGTTTTCTTTTCCTTTATTATTTAATAAAAGACTCATTGCAAAATCTTAATTTTGTTTAGAAATACATTATGCACGAGGTATACTTTGCACAATTACATCAATGCATCCATATGACACTGAATTTTAGTATATTTTTTCTCATTTTGTCGATGATAAGTTTTTTTCTCCATCCAAGTTGTTTTCTGACAATTCTTTTAGCCATTCCAAATATACTAGAGGGGTGCGTCTAGACTGGCAAGATTTTGCGCAAAAACTTGCCAGCAATCTACACTGGCCGCTTGAATGTAGTAGACAGGCACTTTAATTTTTTGCGCAAGAAAGCCCAATGGCTAAAATGGCCATCGGAGCTTTCTTGCACAAAAGCATGTTTATACTTGGCACGGATGCTTTTGCGCAAAAGCATCCGTGCCAATCTAGACGCTCTTTTGCGGAAATACTTTTAACGGAAAAACTTTTCCGTTAAAAGTATTTCCGCAAAATCATGCCAGTCTAGACGCAGCCGAGATGTTTTAGATGTTTATTTTGGGAGAATTTCTCATTTTGCTACTACAGGTTGCAACTACCTAAACCAGGATTCTCTGGCCTAGTTTACACTGGAGCAGAAGGTCGACCTAAGATACACAACTCAAGCTACGTTAATTGGAGTCAACATATCTTAAATAACTGTCCACAGAGTGGGAGGTCAATGGGAGCAAATACTCTTATCAGCTTCCCTTAATCCTTGCAGGAAGCAGGAGTATCAGTGCTGACAGGAGTGCCCTCTGAGTTCGATTTAGTATGTCTTCACTAGACCTACTAATTCAAATCCCAGAATATTGGCCATGGCAGTGTCGATATTCCGTGTAGTGTAGACATGCCCTCTGGTCCACAGATGTTCTTGGACCAGAGAATCCTGGAGCTGGAAGCCCTGCCAGCCAAGAGCTTGGTGGCAGGGAGGCTAGTGTCTGGGAGCTCTGCCAAGTTATTCCTGAAGTTGCAAAGTGACAATGAGGAGGCATTCAGAGAGGTGCTGAGCACAGTGGAACACAACCTTTGGGCTCAGGAAACAAGCATCGAGTGTTGGGATCACATTGTCATGCAAGCCTGGAATGATAGCTGCAGAATTTTCGGACGAGGAAAACCACTTTCATAGGATTGTGTGCTGAGCTTTCCTCCAACGCAAGGACACGTGAATGAGAGTTGCCGTGCTGCTGGAGAAGCACGCGGTTATCACACTGTGGAAGCTGGGTATTCCCGACATCTTTTGCTCAGTTGCCAATCAGTTTGAAGTGGGAAAGTTGATTGTTGGACGCATGTTAATGAAAGTGTGCAGGGCCATCAATCTCATCCTACTCTGCAAGACTGTGACTCTAGGCAATGTACATGAAATTGTGGATGGCTCTGCTTGGATGGCTTCCTGAACTGTGATGGGGCAATAGATGGCACACATATTCCAATTCTGGCACCAGACCAGCAAGCCTCCAAGTACATTAACAGCAAGGGGCATTTCTCCATGGCTCTGCAGGCACCTGTGGATCACTGTGGGCATTTCACAGACATTCGTGCAGGCTGGCCCAGAAAGATGCATAATGCATGCATCTTTTGGAATACTGGCCTATTCAGAAAGCAGCAAGTGGGGACTTTCTTCTCAGACAAGAAGATCACTGTGAGGGAAGTGGAAATGACCATTGTGATTCTTGGAAACCCTGCCTACCCCTTAGTGTCATAGCTCATAAAGCCATACTCAAGGAGCCTTGACAACAGTAAAGAGCAGTTCAATAGCAGGCTGACTGTGGAGTATGCTTTCGGGTGTTTGAAAGCCTGCTGCTGTTGATTGTACAGGAAGCTGGTCCTGGACAATATCTCTATGACTATTGGCATGCGCTGTACCCTCCATAATATTTGCGAAAGGAGGGGTGAAAGCTTCACTCAGGCCTGGACTGCTGAAGCTCAGCGTCTGGAAGCTGAGTTTGAACAGCCTGAGACCAGGGCTATGAAAGGAGCACAGAGTCTCATGTATTTTTCTATGTCTAGGTTTCATATGCAGCCTTGCTGTGCAAGAGGGCCTGCAGTTCATCAGAGCTAAACCTCATGGGGATGGGTGTTGAGTGCATCAGGGAGGGGCCTGTGGGAGTCTGCATGGATGGAGATTGAGGGAGTAGATGTGGAGTGTGGTGGTGGTGGCCAAATTGTGTTGGCAGTGATGGAACGTGTATGGAAAACAGTTTTGGGACACCGGCTGCAGGGGGTGGGGGAGGCATTTGCACAGCTGCTCTGTCTGAAATGCTAAATTGCACCTAGAGTGTTTCCACTTATTACTCCATAATGTTTAGGTTAAGAGCTACTCTGTGCTTTCTTTCTGCTCCCTCCTCTCACTGTCCCTCCACTCCTTCAATTCTCTCAGCAGCAGTGAGACTCAGGATGTCATGCAAAAACTCCTCTCAAGTCTTTTGGGGCCATTTTCTTGCTTTGCGAAGCCTTTCCACAGGTGATATCAGTTCAGATTAGCATGCCAAAGTTCAGCTCTGTCAAGACAAATCTGCAACACTTACAGAGGGTCCATTATTGACATTCCATTGTTCACATTCCTAGCATTGACTCACTATCCTGGAGTGAGCATACATAAGATACAGAATCATACAATGGTGAGTTCACCTCTAGGGCAAGGGAATTCCTTGATGCATGGGGGCAGGAAATTCCTTGGTGCTGAGGAACAGGGGTTTTCATTGGTGCAGGACCCTACTGTACTCTGGGCAGGTGTGACTTGGAAACACCACTGTGTAGGGGCCTAATTGTTAGTAATAGTCACTCAATTTCCAAAGGCTGTATTAATCATGGAAGACATTTCGCTGCTTAGGGTGAGCAGGGAAGCAAAGAAGAGTCTTCTGGGAGACTGCAGGTTCCATCCAGGACCATACATGGTGGCTACGTCTAGACTGGCATGATTTTCCGGAAATGCTTTTAACGGAAAAGTTTTGCGTCTAGATTGGCACGGACGCTTTTCCGGAAGAGCAGCCATGGCCAATCTAGGCGCACTTTTCCGCAAAAAAGCCTCCATCGTCATTTTCGCGATCGGGGCTTTTTTGCGCAAAACAAATCTCAGCTGTTTACACTGGCCCTTTTGCGCAAAAGGGACTTTTGCCAGAACGGGCGCACCCTAGTATTTTCGCAAAAAGCACTGATTTCTTACATGAGATCATCAGTGTTCTTGCGGAAATTCAAGAAGGGAAGTTTAGACAGCTGGCAAGTTTTTCTGCAAAAGCAGCTGCCTTACCATTGTAAACACCTTGAAAGTAAGCGTGACAAGGGCTGATTTTCCTGTGCAGTAACGTGCAAATGCAGACTGTGCCTCAGACAACTCAATTGATTTTGACAGGGCTAGCAAAAGGCGTATCCCTGACACCAAGACCATGTCCCAGCGAATCCGCACAGTCCAGCTGCACATTACGAAGGCGGTGGAGCTTCTCTATAGCGTGGCGGCGGCCCCCACTAACAGAATAGTTCAGTCCATGCCCAGAGAGCCAGCAGCTCGGTGGAGGGGAGGCCCTGCTAAGGCTCTGGCCGAGGGCGCTGCTGCTGCTGCACGACGATCGCAATGCACCTCCGCGCAGGCGCACAACCACGCGGCATCCGCAGCACGGCCGCGCGCCACAGGCTGCGCCCCGCAACGAACTGACTGCGGGGCCGCTTCCCGCCCGGCCTCAGAGCGGGCAGAGGGCGCAGCCCGGAGCCCCCGCCCCCTCCGCAAGCCCCGCCCCCTCGCGGTATCTATTGGCGCTTCCGGCGGGGAGCTGCAGCAGTATCTCAGCGCGCATGCGCAGTGTTTGAACGCGATGGCGGCGGTCACGGAGGAGGCCATTCGGGAGAGAGTCAATCTGCGGCACCAGAACCTGGGTAAGCAACTCCCCTTCCGCGGGCGCTGCTGCTCGCGGTAGCAGGCGCCCGGAGACGTCAGCCCCGCCCACACGCCTCTCTGCCTCGCCCTGGCGGTTAAAACCGTTAATCCGGCGGATCGCGGCGGGGCAGAAAACAAATAGGCGGGGCTTGTGTCGTGGTCACGCCCCGAGCACCTCTGACCAATGGGAGGGCCCGATCTCTGTTGTGGCTGCCCTCGGGCTCCCGGGTTCTGTGGTCCAGGAGCATCCAAGGTTCTGCCGGATCAGGGATGTTGCTGGCCCAGAGAGTGCTGGAGTTTGGAGTTACTGCCTGTGGGTATACTCTGTACACAAGTGGATATAGATGGGATCTGATTGCAAGAAACAATTTATAGGGGCACCCCTCTTTGGCCACTTGTGACTGTCACTAGAGTTGAGAATAGAAACAGAATGCTCTTTGTGGGCTTGTCCTCTATGTTCGTGGCTCAGTTACCTTGCAGACTGCCTGGTGGGAAGCAATACAGATGGAAGTGTATTATCTGCTTTAGGTCCCCTTTGCACTTCTACCAAGCAGCATACCCCCAAGAAGTTTAACATTTTCCCTAATAGGCATAAGGAAGCCAGTCCCTACTGTTTTTAGTTCCACTTGTCAATGATAAATATTTCTAATTCACGGGCACACACAGCACTAAAAATCATAAAAATTGAACAGCTTCATCCTGCATTGTCTGTCACATCAATAATCAGGTAGATTTGAAATTTATTTTAATAATTTTAGTAATTTCATTTTTCTTATGATAAATATATTCAGGTTTTAAATTTTCTCATTGTAGCTGATGTCCGATCATTGTCTCTTCCTGGAACTTATCATGAAAAGATTACTCATTTAGGACATTCTCTGAAAAATTTCACTCGCCTAAAATCCTTAGATCTCTCTCGCAATGCATTGGTTAGCTTGGAGGTATGTTTATCTTAATTTTTTAAAATTATTTTTTAAGACAAATGTAACAAGAATAGGTTGGCTCTTGAAGTCGTGGAGAAAGGACAAGAGAATTGGAGGAGTTGTATTGAGGGTTTTATGGAGATTGGAACAACATTGGGGGAGGATTTTGTTCTTTGCAAACCTGGTACAGGTTGAACCTTTCTTTTCTGGGACTCTGGTCCAGCAACATCCATGGTCCAGAAGAACTGCGGATATTACTGGACCAAAGAGCTCCTGGACCAGAGAGGTCCCACTTGTAACTTTTTTTTTTAATAAGGTAAATGTTTCTGCATTACTTTGGAACATTGGTAACAGCATATAGAATGTTTTATTTCCACATGACAATTTTGATCTAGTTTGGGCTAAGAATGTTAAGTATCAGGTAATTGACTAATCGAATAGTTGATGCATTTTTGCATCAGCTATTTGATTAGTTGATAGGGTGCCTCCAGCACTGAAGTATAGCAACTGCCCTAGGTGAAAGTGCCTGTGGCGCTACCACTTTGAAATGCTGCAGCGCCGCGTGGAGCCTGGGGTCAGCTGGGGAGTCCCCAGCTGACCTCAGGCTCCGTGCGGTGCTGCCACTTTGAAGTACCCTACTCTTCTTCCCCCCCTTGTTGCCTCTGTTATAGAGGCAGCAAGGGGCGGGGGAAGCGACTAGTTGACTATCTGATAAACGTTTGCTTATTGGATAGTCAACTAGTCCTTCACATCCCTTGTTTGGGCTAGTGGTCAAAAATTATTTTCTGTTGGTTGTTCAAAAGCACTGTGTATAAAATCATAAAATCGTTTGTCTAATTCCAAATGGGTGGGAGTCCAGATTATAATTGGTACCCTTGATAAAAGTCTCAGCAAAAGATAGCACAGAGTCTGAACTAATGTATGAAAATATAACACATTGCCTTTCTCAAAGATACTTCAGCGGTTTGGTATAGTGAAACACTAATTACCAAACCTGTATTATACTCCTTTGTAGTTGAAGCAGGATAATAGATTAAGTACTGTCAATCCATCACCTTTTTCTGTTGTGGCTCTGATCTTAAAAAGACTTACGCTCATATTTAATTCAATACATGAGTTCATCCAATGCCCCTGGGACTCCCTGTGGTTAGAATTAAGCACGTGCTTAAAACTTTGCAGGATGAGAGTATAAGTGCAATTGCTTCTCTCAACCCTTTTTTGTGAAGAACAGCAACAATATGCTTAACTCTACAGAAGTCTGAGGTATGAGCATAGCTAGCACATCATAGCTAGTTTAATTAAACCACTTTCTGCTGCTAATATGTAAAATACACTAATGAAGAAAATTCATATCTGTAGCATATGATAGCTTGAAGAACTCAGATTTGTGTCAGTATTTGAGGTGCTCAATTAGTATTTTAAATTCAATAATTGCTCATCTTGCTCAGCAAAAGTTTTAATTGAAAAAGTGTTTTCAGTGTCATTAGAATGAGTTTTTTTTTTTTTTTTTAGACCGACATCCCTTTTCATATAGACCACCAAACTACTACAGGCAGATAGAAAAAAGTGCTAAGTCACTACTTGTCTGGCTTTGATTTATACCAGTGACCTAGTGTATTTCATTCAACAAAAACTAAGTTTATATTACAAACTAATATGATTTTTGTTTTCTATACATTAACAGGGTATTCAGCATTTGATATTTTTAGAAAAGATCAATCTCTATTACAATCACATTTCATCACTATCAGAAATATTTCGACTTCATAGTTTAGCTGCACTCAAGGATGTGGACCTCCGCCTGAACCCGGTAGTAAAAAATGAGTCTGATTATCGTCTTTTTGTTGTGCACATGCTTCCTAACCTTAGACGATTAGGTAAGTAGGTGAACTCTACAATTCAGAGGTTCAAACCTGAACTTGTTCTTGAAAATACATATAACACCTATAACACTGTGGTTTTGGTGGTATTTCTTAAATGTATGGAACAAAATTTTGTATCCCTCCACCTGGAAAGCCGGGTGCCTTTGTTACCATAATAATGGCTAACTAAATGGTCAGTAGGACTTCGATACTTTTTAAAAAATGTATAATTCTTAATATGAAAGAATATTACTATATTAGATAGGAGGGCCAGTGTATAGAGAGCTAGCCTGGGACTCAGGAAACCCTGCTCTGCCATAGGCTTACTTGGTAACTTTGGGCAAGTCACTTAGGTCCAGATCCACAAAGATATGTAAGCTCCTAACTTCTGAAGTCAGTGGAAGTAATAGTGACAGTTCAGGACTCCTGGGATGCCAATTGAGGTGCTTAAGATACCACCGAGCCCACCTTCTCAATCAGCTTGGGCTCCCTTTTATATGGTCTTGCTGAGTTTGGCTCTTAGGCCTCCTCCAGCAAAGTACACAGGGAGGGCTACAGCCAGCTGCTGATAGAGACACTGATGTCAGCTCTGGGAGGACTCAGCTTAAGGGATTTACTGTAGCTTCCAGATGTTCACCCTGCTTCCCTGGGGGTACAAACCCAAAGTTATGTGAAGTTAACCTTCCTCAATGTGAAGGTAGGTATATACAGTCTCTTGCCACTTCCCTCGTTAGAAATTACACAAACTGGGTTATATTATAAACCAGAAATACATTTATTAACTGTGGAAAAAGTGTTTGGAAGTGGTTAAAGAGCAAACAGAAAAAGCAGATAAAGAATACAGAGCATGCAGTCTAACCTAGATTCACTAAAAACTGGTTACAAATGTATTATTTCTCATACTAGATATTGTTCAGGTAGAATCCTTCACAGGACAGATATTTTTAGCCTGAGTCTAGCAGTTCTTCTCTTCCCCCACTCCCTTCACTTGCACTCCTTTTGTTTCTAGGTGTTTTTAAGTATCTCTTTGGGGTGGGGAGACAGAAGTAAAGCAAACTGACGACAATCATTGTTTTATATAGAATAATGTGGAAAAACCTGTGTGTGATTTCCTTCCCCCCCCAAACAGTTCAGACCAAGGAGTTGGTTAGTATGAGGTGACCAGGTCACATGACTCAGTCATCCATAGGCAGTATGGAATGTCACGTGGAAGGCCAAGCCAATTCACAGTCCATTATGCTGATGGATCATTAAACCCTGCCTAGCTTTTCCATTGTAGTCCCTGAGATCTCAGCATTGGGAATGATGCAAAGCAGCAAATATGAAATACAGATGTACGGGTCAATATTCTTAATTTCATCTACAAAAATGATACGTGCATTAGGGATGTAAAATCCCATTAAATCCATTAATTGGTAAATTATTCAGTAAATCATAAATTTTCCAATGCTATCTTATGAGATCCATCTTGCATAAAGCATCTCTGTTATGTCATTCATATCATAAGCATATTTTCATAAAGAGTAAGGAATGCCAAATCACAAGTAAGGAATCCAAATACATTTGTGGATCTGAAACTTAGGGTTTATGTGTCAGTTCTCTAGCTGTGAACTAGAGATAGTAGTATGTCTGTCTCAAGATGTTGTGAGGATAAATATATTAAAGATGGCAAGATGCTCAATTACTGTGGTAATGGGGGCGATATATATCTAGATAGATTGATTGGAAACCAGAGGTGAAAGTATGCAGGTGTGCCTCAGAGTGCTGCTCTGGTAAGAGCTGGCTGTGGTATTCTGCTGTAGGAGGAGGTAGGCACGCTCCCAGCTGGGCTCTTGGGACTCTCCTGCAGGCTGCTGCACTATATTTTTGTTAGTCTCTAAGGGTATGTCTACACTACCCTCCTAATTCGAACTAGGAGGGTAATGTAGGCATACTGCACTTGCAAATGAAGCCCGGGATTTGAATTTCCCGGGCTTCATTTACATGAAGCCGGCCGGCGCCATTTTTAAATGCCGGCAGTTCGAACCCCGTGCAGTGCGGCTACACGCGGCACGGAGTAGCTAGTTCGGATTAGGCTTCCTAATCTGAACTAGCTGTACTCCTCATTCCACGAGGAGTA